TTATGAACTTTTCATGAGATAGAAAATAAAGTAGGTAGCATAGACTTTGGGAATTCAACTTCTACAAGTGCATAGCAACATCAAGAAAAAAAGATAAATAATTTGTTTTTTGTTTTTTTAAAGCAAACAAACCTAGACAAATCTGAACATAAGGGACAGGGCCAGAACCCAATATCCAATAACTGCTATCTTCACATCCTCAGGGAGCTCTATGTCAAAAAGAGGAACAATTCTGCAGCTGAATGCCAAATAATTACCTTTTATGTGTAAAATGTCTCTGATGTGAACAAATCTTGATATTAAACTGGCTCCTTCACCCCAAACCTAAGAACAATTGGTCAAAAATACACTGAAAACCTACCATATGAACAGTCAGGGTTTTTTTGGGGGGCAGTCTTAGTTTGTACTGCGTGATCTTGGATAATAACCGCCTGATTAACTTTTTTTTTCTAATGTATTGAATCATGCTTTGCATCATAGCAGCTTTGTTTGGCTGAGTTTTTGCAGAACTGATGATGTTCAATGGTACCCAGGGAAAACATTCTATCAACCGTATCCTCCAGCAATACAGCTTTGTCCAAGTTTTCCAAGAAAGATACAATCTACCCACGTAAGAATCGAAGGTCCCATGTTGAATAGGTAGTAAGTAAAAACCACCAATGATTCCAGCGTGTGATATAAAGAAGTGGATAGGTCCTGGAATTGATCATGACAGGAGCAGTCATTTCATATTATAATACAAACACACGCAAGAAAATAAAAAAAATGTTCTCATGAGCCTGCAGGGCCATACTTGGACCATGTCCGAGGATGCAATAACATCATATGGATGACAAAGGAGGAATTTAATTGATGATAAGGATAATATAAATGATGAAACAATGTTCTACCTGAAGGTTGCCTGTCCCACTGCTCAGAAGGCCATCTTCCACGTTTAAAAACAGCTCCTGTACCGACTACTGGGATGAACTCATTGAAAAGAAAACATAAAGCTTTGGTGCAACAGATTCCATGGTTACAGATGCCCCTGTATCCATAGTAACCCACTCTCACAGCTACCTGCAGAGAGCAAAGGTGAGAAAAACACAGGCAACCACCGTCTGAATGAGGTTCCTGAATATAATGGGGCTTAGGACAAAGGGCACATATACATTGGATGATAACTACTCCACTGTCTTTACTTCATATGCAGGGATTTAAAAGAAAGGCTGAGAGAAAAACCTTTCGAAAGAGTGAGAGGTGATGGAAAAACTGGTCTGGCTGACTAATGGTCCAACTTCACCACTCAGTCTGAGATTTCCTTCGACTGTGCTGAATAGGGACAAGCCAAAAATATACCAAAGAGGCCTCCAAGATGCTCAGAAGCTGAAATCCCGTATCAAACAAGAATGGGAACATATAGCTTACAAAACTACAGTCGGCGCTCTCCTCGGCTCTAAAACTTGGATGACATGAACAAGGGCTGTTTCAACAGAGAGGAAGACAAGCGCTTGTCCCAGTATTTGCTTTTTCATTTTTTACAAACGTGTAGCTGACAGCACAATCTTTGAATGAGTGGAAAAGCTTCCGTTTCCGACATAGCAGCTGATATATTGTCTCTGAACCTGGTGGAATCAATTACAGAATTTAAAGGCCCAGTACAGGGCAAAAAGAAAGATGTGGTGCACAACACAAATCCAAACACCCTCGTCTCTGGAAAAAGGGGCAGTTTTGTACAAAGCTTCAACATTTGGACGGCTCATCTACACTGAAGACAAACCGGGAAATTTGTCTGATATGTACTGCAAGGTTTCACGAAACCATCATAAAATCATCCCTGCATCTTCACACAGCACCGTGTTGCAGCGCTTGCTTTAATACAAGGACTCTCTGTATATAGATAATCAAATATTCTATCACTTGCAGTTCATTACACCATTACTATTTATATTTTAAAACTTGGCCCAGTTGGACACAGTGTTGGGAAGGAGCAGCTAAAATTCAACCACAATTTGGGACATTCACACCACTCTTTTTTTTAAACTAATTACTTTCTACAAGAAATAGCAAATACGAAAAAAGGGGTCACTTAACTTAAAAACAAAAACAAAAAAAGATCTAAAAGTCTATAACTTATAACTAAAACTAAGAGCACACAGGGACGGGTACACAACGTAAAGCTTAAAGGCGTGTGAGTGAGTGGTGGATGTGGGTCACTGGTTTTGCATGGACAGCAGCAGTTAGTGTGCCATTCGCTCGGTGTCCCAGCAGAGCCCGCATTACAAAAGCTTCAGACTTTCTGATAACTCCCTGCAGGATTCACCCAGTGTGGGGCCACAGAAAATCAAACCGGCTCTCCATAAGCCGCCGACTGCCTGCACACCTCCCATCTGCCACGATGTAAACTCCCCCCCCAAAGACTTGTCATTCAAGTTAAAAAGGAATCAATGTTCCATGTCGGACGCCGCTTTTTTTTTTCTCTGTAATGTTTTGATTAAAAAGAAAAAAAGGAAAAAAGAATAGGTAGGACGATCTTAGTGGATGTGTCCTCAGCAGTGATGGAACAAAGAAATGGGCGGTAACTTTACGAGAGCTGAGAAGTGTTTCTGGATGGTTTGCGCATAGCACCATTTGAACCGTCAACTGTACCACTTCGTGGTTCAGTGCGTGTGCGGGTGTGTGTGTGTTTGTGTGTGTGTGTGGGTGTGTGTGTGTGTGTGTGTGTGTGTGTGTGTGTGTGTGTGTGCACAGAGGCAGGCCATGAGTGACGCTCATCTGTGTCTGGGCTTTGATGCTTGATGGGTTCGCTCTGGTGTGTGCACAAGGAACCGCGGGCGCACAGCAGGACGGCAGCGCCACACATAAATCTGTTTGAGTTGCTCCTAGTCGGCTCACACTCTCGCTGCACCTCCTGCATGGAGCAATGCCGTGCGTCCCCCTACAGTGGGAAGTCATTAAACAGAGTTTTATGCAGGGGCTGGCTCCGTACCCCGCCTTCCCCTCACACCCTGGGAGTCGGAGCTTGGCATTCTCGGTGTGTTTACCAGCTCTACAGATCTTAACTAAAGAGGTTATAAATCTCCCTTTTTCTTTCACCCTGTATTACATTTATATGTGACCTAACACAGCCTCAGAGGAAGCCATTCAGACTGCGTGCAGCTAAAGAGATAAAACAGACGCTCAGCTGCACACTATATTTGCAGGATGCAAAAGTGTAGCACGCGAGCGCAGTGACGCCAAAAACCAGCTCAGAGCACTAATGAAAATCAGAGACAAAGCAGCTCTGGAGTGTGTCATAGGAACTGAGGGCTTAATTTACAAAGAAAATCGCAAATTATGGCAAACATTTATGTTGGCGCGCGTTTTCCGTTTGGCTGGGACACACACTCGGCAGTCACAGCCACTGTTGTGTCAACTCGCATGTTTTGCTGCTAATTAAGATCTGACGCTGAGCCATTTAGAAAGTCTATTTGGGGAAGGCGATGGCACAACAATAGAAAGTCTTGCTTTCCTGCAGCCCACGTTGGAAAATTGGTTCATGGAACCAATAAAAAGATTTCAAACGTGCGGCCGTGGAATTGCATCCTCTAAGGTCGACACACTGCAGAAGTTAATCCCATTCAGGCATCGTCTGGAGAAAAAAAGAAAAAAAAAGGGGGCTTTTTGGAGACTGAAAGTTGCAACAAACTATGCTCCTGACATGGTCAACCGATGTAGCTCTAAATGATCTCTCAGAAACAAAAAAGTACAGCAAATCCTGCATTACAAAGTCATTCAACCTTCAAGCTGTCTGTTCCTTTCTAACTCCTCTGTCCTAAGATTTCCGTTTTCCCCTCAATTCATCTCTTACCAAGCAATATAGGTACTGTCAGGAAAATATATATCCCCTTCTTCCTATTCAGCTTATCTTTGTCTACATCATAACCGGGGCCGCTGAAAGCAGTGCCCCAGGTGCTTAAGCCCCGGGACGCTGATAAGAGTGGCACCTGGCTGGCTGAAAGCCAACCTGGATGCACTATCACAAAGCTGCCGCTGTATTTGGAGAGGACGCTGAATAAAATAGAACCGTTAGAATATGTGCTGTATGTGTTAGATAGCCGGGTGGGCGGAGACAAAATATAGCAAGGAAAGGCAGAATATAAAGCTCTGTGTGGGTGCATACAAATGGGCGTTAGACTATCTTTGTTTCTGTACAATGGATTCTCGAAGATTTGTAGTACAAGCGTAGTTTCACTTCACTCCTCACGCAGGGCTGTGTGAGTGCACGGGGCGGGCGTCTAAATTGCATTTTAAGAAAGCAAGAGTAAGAAAAAAAAAAAAAAAACAAGAAAAAAAAACAAAAAAAAAAAAAAAAAGAAAAAAGAAAAAAAAAAAAAGAATCGAGAGGCTGAGAAACAAATTAGAGCGGATGAGTGCTGTGATGAAAAGCAGAGCAGGCACGGCCACCAAGCTAAAAAAAAAAAAGACAAAAAAGAAAAAACACACACTCACACACTTCAGCAAACAGCAAAAAGACACAATTAAACCTGCTAAAACATCAGGCCCTACAAAGCATCTATCTGCATCTTATTGAGAAGCACCAAAGGACTACAAACATGTAACCAATAAAAAGACTTAACTCACAAACCAGTACTGAATTAAAAAAAAAAACATACACCTGGGTGATTTCTCAGCACAGATGTGGTTAATACTGAACTGCAAAGAGAATATACTGAAGTCATATTTGAAATGCCTACACGGTGAGTACAACAATGACAAAATGGAGCTGCACAGACAGTTTGAAAACGTTGATCTGAATCACGGCCTAACGTTCCAAAGCCTTAAAAGGTACAAACCACAGCATGTCCTATCTTATACAGCAAAATTATATTTACACGGTATTAGCGCTAAAAAGTGTACTTTTGATTTAATGAACAAAAACAAGAAGGCTTTTCCTTATTCCTCTCCAGTCCCAGCTAAAGGTTTTAAACCCCCTTCTGTGCATTGTCCGGATCATCCTAAGCCCGGTCTGAGTCACTCACTGAGCCTCTTGGCAGCGTCCAGGGCCTCGGACGCTGTGTCGGCCACGAAGAAGCGCTGGACAGCCACGCCGCTCTCCTGCATCAGCTTCTTGCTCTGGTACTCCTGTAGATTCAGCCATCTCCTGGGGCTCAGCCAGGTGCACTGTGTGTGTGTAGGGGGGGGGGACAGAGACGGCAAGAGGAGGATTTGTAAATGACACAGAAATATGTTGTAGTAATAAAGAGGCCTGTTTTCCAGGGTAATCCATCACAAACAGTTTCTGTTTTTTACAGCTTTCTGCTTTTACATTTTTACATTACATAAAAGCCCCGAAACATCTCCTGCCATCTCCCCCCCCCCCCCTTCGACCATCTTTCCCGTCTTTTTTCCCTGTAATGAGACGTGCAGTCAGGCCCGGGCTTCAGGACAGCTCAGGAGCTGTTGGCGCCATCAGCAGACGCTGGCCCCGTCAGCTACAGCTGTTGTTGCTATTAAAAAAAAAAAATTGGCTTTTTGAAGGAAAAGAAGAGACGCAAGCTGTGTCGGGGGCCGAATTCCCCAGCTCTCCCCGCCACGCACACAGGTGTGTGAGGGAAAAGCGGGGAAATAGCGGCGTGTGTGTGTGAATGCAGATGCTTTCCCTGGAAAGGTGTCGAGGGAGTCATTAAGAAGACAACGGCCATTAAATTAAAAAGGAAAACAAGGACTGCGAGGCGAGTTAGGATCTAGCCTGTGAGGGATGCTCGGAGCTTTGCGTTTTGCGTTTTACTCTGTTAAGATGTTCAGTATTGTTGCACATGGCTCCATGTGTCCTGATGCTCTACTGTTCTGAATACAGAATCAATACAGAGCCGTAAAATGATGTTTAACAGCAACTGTGCTCCGGTCTGCATCCTTCATCCTCCAATCTTAACCCAAAATAAAAACTAAATCACCAGATTTCTCAGAAAGTAGGCAGCTGGTTCTTCTGCCAGACAGTGTGGGAAACACATCTGGGAGAAAGTAAACCCAACCTGAATTGTTGCAACAGCAGGTCGAGCAAAACAGAGTCTGAATATCTCTAGATTCACAAACAAAAACACAATGTCTTTCTGGACTCAAACAGCTTACAAAACGGCCACAAAATCGATTAAAAACAACATAAAACAATCATCAGGAATGAAACCAGGCAGCTATTTTCAACTATTTGGAAGTTGAAAGCTACTGATTCTCTTTTTTTTTTCCCCTCACAGAGTCTTCAGAGATAGATTCAGCGTTAAGAGGCGGTTGCTTTCTTTCTCTCCTTTCTGAAAGTTATTTATTCGAGCCACTCAGCAGATATTGTTTGTAATGTATGGTATATTAATTCAAATAAGAAGCGTGTTTATCCTAATCTATATCAGCTAGTTAGACTACCCACACACACACACACACACACACACACACACACACACACACACACAGGATGTTAAATAGTTTGCATGTATGAAAATGAATGAGTGTCTAAAGCCAGCTCACCATGAGTAACTACTGGGATGAATTTTCATATTGACAGAAAAAAAACTAAGTTGGCTGAAATTATTCCGGATGCCTGTTCATGCTGGTTAGTGTGCTTTAGTGGACTTGCCAGATGACAAGGCCACTGTGTCTTTTCACACAGTTAGTCGCTCCATCATGCACGTGGGGGCTGAGCATGAATGGAAAGTGTTTGTTAAGAATCTCTCAGACTGAGTCAGTGAGGGGGTGAAATGTGACATTGACCAGCCGTTTCTGGTTATCGGTCCGTTAATGGTGTGGAGTTCGTAATGGATCCTGAACTGACTTAAATATGTACAAACGGAGAAGGAGATTGCTGTCAGCTTGTGTCGACTAAACACAACACCATCAAAAACTGTGGAGTGCTGGCTCCTTCATTCCTTGAGGGATGCTGGACATCAGAGACAATTTCTGGAACCAAAACAAGAAAATTACAAAGCAAAAATAAATTAATTAATAAAAAAAAAACAAAAAAAACAGTAAAATCCTGTATTTAAAGACGGGCAGACATGATGCCAACAAAGAGAAAGGAAAAGAAAAGGGATTGTTATGGTTTTAAACAAGCTTTACGACTATTGAGGAATAGATTTCGGGGTTTACGAGATACTTAAACACACCGTAAAGTCTAACGCACTTTGCCACACCAAGTGATTTAGATATCCCGGGTTTACGGCGTGCGCATCAAGCAAACCACGGAAGTCCTCGTTCTGTGGCGAGTGCAGGTGCATAATGCAGGTTTAAGTGTTTAACCGGAGAAGTGGGAGTTCCTGCAAAAGCCCTGTAATCATCCAACTTCTAAAAAAAAGTGCTTCAAGCTCTCCCTTGATCTCCTCATCAACACACAGCTGTGTACGGTGTCAGTGGAGATATGATTATTCATTTTTCATAAGGTACATTTCAGTCATTTTGGTTTTTGCTTTGTCATTCAGCTTGTAAACTGACAGTTATGTTCAAAGATAAAAATTGAATGAATATGGGAAGGGATGTTTCTCCCATTCCAGCACATTTATGAACAGCTCACAGTTCGGAAGGCTTGGGGTATGCTGTGTACGTTCATTCTGGAGGGAGAAGCACATCTCCTTTGTGTAAGCTCACTGTTCTAACCGGCCATTTGTCCATCTGTCCGGTAAATTCACAATGAGCAATGCCTGAAGGACGGCAGCGCATCATTTTCCCAAAACTGCTGCTTTAACTAAGAGCTTGGTGCTGGTAAGAGCACGACTTGGGCAGGGTGGTTTTTACTAAAGAATGTACTCCGTGTGCATTTTGTTTGTTTGTTTGTTTTTTTTAAAGGGGCAAGGCATCAGGTTAGGGTTAGGGTTAGGGTTAGCCCTGCTCATTTAGACATGAAGCTGCCTGGACTGACAGATTAATAAAGAGGAGCGAACACAGAAAATATAAAAATCAAAAACTCGCTGGAGAATAAATCATGAAAAAGAAGAAAAGGATATTAAAAAAGAAACATTGTCATGTGTGTAAATTGTGAAAACTAATTTCCATCATTGAAAAAAAAGCTCTGCAAAGCCTTTTCATCCAGCCAGCTGCTTCGCTACAGAACGCCGTGACTCCAATGCTCTGAACCTGGCCTTAATTCTGCCTCCACGTGCAGCTTGGAATCAGTATAACAGTAGCTTTACCTAAAAGTGAAAACCACAAGGCATCTCAACACATGCATAATAAATGATAAACACTCATCATTTAAATATTCCAGAATCCAGCGTCACTATTTACTGGGAGGTGAGTGCTTAGTGTTGCTGCTGCCGACTCCACAAAAAGGTCTTTAACAATACAGATAGATTTCTCACACACAGGTGACAGCCCATAAGCATGACGGTGACCCTGCTTAAGGGTCTAAACCTGCTTAACCAGCTAAAAGTCCCTGTGACCGTACCTCTCAGGGGTATTTACTTTTAAAAGCACCTAAATGAAGTTCATGCAAACGGGCAGAAACTCTGGTACCTGTGATGAGCAAAGGGGGCTCCACCATGAAATCTGAACTACTGCAAAGCACATCAGGTGTTTTTTTTTTTGTCAGATGGAGCCCGTAAAATGGGGAGGGGAAAAAAAGGGGGCTTCAAACCACAGCAGCTTAGTCAAAAGAGGAAAAGCAGAGAAGCAAAGGGCTGGTGCCACTTTTGGGTCTGCACACAAACAGGGATCATATTTCTGTTAAATAAAAAGAATGGGGGAAAAAATGGAATAACATCTTCCAACGTTGTCCATCAAAATTTGGAATTAAATTCAAGAAGACTCCCTCTGCAAGGTTATCACAATAGCTGTAATGAATCATGTCAGTGGACACGTTAGATGATAAAGTAACTCCGAAATCATTCCTAAAGACTAATCCTCTAATCTTTTTCCCCCCCACACATTAAAATGTCCGTGATCTAAAAATCCAAGCCTAAAATAACCCCGTCAGTGCCACAGCACACTGGATTAGCATGCATTTTCCATTCCAACACTCATGAGAGCCTGTCAGGAGACTTCATTAGAGCCAAAATGGGTTGCTCCGCAGAAGAATAGTGAACACTGATATGTACTGGTCTCATCTTTTGCATAAATACATAAGGGGGCTCAGTCTTGTCTTGAATAATATATCCTAGTCGTATGCTTCAATTATAGCATCCTATACTATGTGTGTGTGTATTTACGTTGTTTGAATCCCAAAATGAACTCCATTATGGCAAATATTGATGACACAACTCTTTTCCATTGATGCGGACGGCTTTAGAGGGAGAGCAGAGAATGAGCCGCAAATCATTTCAGACCCATGGCACAAGCAACTAAATACGCTGCCTGTAATTAAACAATGGAAATAGGAAAAGTAAAGAGCCATTAAGAGTATCAAATAACTATTTCCCTCCAGAATGGGCCAGTCTGCATCCCAGGCTGACCCAAATAGGAAGGTCTGGTTTGGATAAATGGAACTATTTATTGTTTTTCTGCCTGTCACTCATTCTTACATGTCCACATATTCACACCGTCTTAACAAGCCTGCTTGCAGGACAACTTTTCCCTGTTTTCCCAAACTGGTTTGTCTGCTGTCAGGCCCCTACAGGGCCTTCTCTCCGACAACATCCACCTCCCTTGCCACTCCACGGTTTGCCTCAGGAGCATCAGCTCTGCTGCCTGGATGCACGTCTCCGTCTGTTAGCCTTTGAATTTACCCAGTGGTCTATGAATATTTTGACAGGGACACACGCAGTCGCCCAAACTGTAATGTTGACTATGGACAATGGGATCTGAAAAACCATGGTAAAGAGAACATTTTATGCTCAGTCCTTAAAAAGGTTTGGTTGGGGGCATGCAAGTGTCCTCTGGAGTTTCTTGGCTCTTTTTTGCTTTCCTTTTCTTACATTGGTGCCATCTATCCAACATCATTTATAATGATGATCCTTTCTCCTTGAATAGCATTGAGTCTCCACAATCAATTACTGTTCCCTCTCAATTTTACTGTGATGGTTCCTATACATGAAATGACCCCAATTATGTTTCTGTAAAATATCAACTCAACAGAGAAAGATTGAACTTTAAATTTACATTAAAAATACATTTAAAATTACATTAAATTTTAAAGGCGTGGTTAACCCTGTCACATCTAATCCTGGTTTGCTTCTTTAGGATGACAGAAAATTAACAATAGCTAT